TGAAACATAAAAGTCACAAATACTATTTTAGTAATATACAATTAATACTACTTAGCAATAAAAAAAAAGAACTATACCTATACATATGTACAAATCTCACTAGCATGTTTAGCAAAAGCCAGACACTAAATAGTATACATTATACCTACCACTTTATGATGTGAAATTCAGGGACAGTGACCACTCTTTGGTGAAGTGGGGAGGACACAACAGAGCCTTCTGAAGCACCTCTAGGACTATTTTGTTTCTTGATTTGGGTGATACTAACCCACGTGTACACACATATGAAAATTCAGCAGAACACTAATATCTTACTACTGTGACAAAGCTTTTGAAATGCTCTTTTCTCAAGGTTCTTGTTGAAGTTTTCTTCTAACTGTAGGCATGAAAATAAAAATTATGCTACCCAACTTACCTCCCCCATTAATTCCTTAACAACGGGCACCACTCCATTATCTTTGGTGAAGCCTTGGTATGACATATTCCTGGCTGCTCTTTGGGTGCAGATGAAAATATCTCCATTCACTGTCTCAAATCCAATGTACTTCATATCAGGACGAACCCAGCAGTTTGTCTGTCCAAACATAGTCTCAGGTCTGAGAGTAGCAGCTACTAAGAAGATATTTTTACCTTTGAGGCCACTAAAAAGAAAAGGTACAGGGCCAGGGATTTAGCTCAGTGGTTCTGCCACTTGCCTTGCAAGTGCAAGGACCCGAGTTTGATCCCCGGTACCAAAAAAGAAAAAGTACATATTTATGTTAAAAAAAAAAGTTACAGATTTCCTCCTCCCAACTACCTGACAATTCATAAATGATGAAAGGACTCTTTGGCAAACCTACCTCAATTTAGATGGATATGGCTCAAGCACTTTCAATTTCAGTAAAGTATATTCCTGAGGTCCAACACCCTGAACAAATAAACAAAACAAAAATCTAAGGGAAAAAAAAACTTGGATTAAGCCTGCCAAACTATGTGGAAGAAATGATTCAAATATCTAACTTATGCACCAGGCTTGGTGGTGCACACCTGTAATTCCAGTGCTCAGGAAGCTGAGGCAGGAGGATCATCACGAGTTTAAGGCCAGCCTGGACTATATAACACTGTCTCTCAATAAATAAAAAAAACTGCTATGGGGTGCTGACCATATCCACATGAAGTCTACTGTGCAAGGAGGGATTCACAGTCATCAAGTTAGCAGTCAAAATGTTGTTCACCAATATCAGAGAAGACAACTCCAATCCTCACTCCAAGGGCAGGTACCAAAGTGCAGTAATCACAGACGTGTACTCAGCCAGGCATCAGGTGATCCGCATTCTAAACTGACCTTGGTCCCTCACTAACAGCTCAACCCCAGGGAGTCACCATCTGAGTTGTGTCTCCCAAGACGGTTCTAAGGAACACATGAGATAAAGAAATATGGTTGAAAAACTATGAAATATTGTTGAAATTCAGGTTATTGCTACCATTGGCTACACAGGCTGAGTAGTTCTGGTGCAAACTGCTTGGGACCAGAAGTATTCAAGATTTCAGAGTTTTTCAGCTCTGAGAATATTTGCATAGACTTTACTATTTAAGCAACCCTAATCTAAAAATATGACTTCTGAAATGCTCCAAATTCTGAAACATTTTGAGTACAACGCTTAATCCCAAAATCGAAAGTTCAAAATCCAAAACCTTTTGAATGACATATGAGTGCTCAGAAACTTTCAAGTTGTGGAACATTTCAGGTATTTGGATTAGGAATGCTCGGTCTGTGCTAAAACTTTACTGGCCCTTCTGAAATCTCTAAAATCTTTCCAAATTTTAATCAATTCTCATTCCTATCAAACAAGTTATACAGAATTGAAGGCTGATTTTGAAAACTAGTTGCTAGACTACAAACACATTCAAAGATGGTAGTAAAGGATGATGTATGTACTCACAGCAATTCTACATGGTCTGAATGTTCCCACCAAAACACATGTTAAAATTTAATCCCTCATGTGTGGTAAAAGTGTAAGTTGGAAACTGATATTCTGATACACAGATCAAGTGCTTGCTTCAGCAGCACATACACTGATACACAACTCAAAAGTTTTGAGAGTCAATGTGGGAAAACAGGAGGTTTTTAGACTTAGACTTCGTTAAAATTTTAGGACAAAATTTTCTTGACAACATTGGTGGACCTAATTTTGCACTCTTTACTAATACATATTAGAAAATATACATAATCAATATTAGTGGCCTCTGTTAGAAATGTTTTGGGCCCGGCATTTAGCTCAGTGGCACCATGTCTGCCTCGCAAGCACAAAGTCCTGAATTTGATTCCCAGTACCAAAAAAACCCCACTGTTTTGAAGTTTCATATATGCCTAAGCTTGTAGAAAGATCATGTTAAGTTTCCTGCCTCCCTGATTTTGTTCATTTATAGCTAAAGTACCTTTGTTATTAAAGTATATGCAAATATAGCTGGGCGTGGTGGCGCACACCTGTAATCCCAGCACTCAGGAGGCTGAGGCAGGAGGATCGCCATGAGTTCGACCAGCATAGGCTACATAGCGACCTGTTTCAAAAAAACAAAAAAAAGTATAGGCATATACAGAACAATAAGACAAAAATAAATAAATAAAAAGAAATTTAATCTCTACTTTGAAGTATTAAGAGATGGAACCACATGGGACCTTTAAGAGGTATTTAGGTCATGAAGGCTCTGCCCTCATAAATGGATTAATCCATTCATGGTTCACAGATTAAAGGGTAAACAGGTATCATGAGAAGGGATTTGTTAAAAATACCCTTGCTTCAGTCTCTGGAATGTGCTCCTCATCATGTGATAATGGGCTCCACCACAGGACCCTGCAGAAAACCTCAACCAGCAAGACCTTCACCAAGAGGCAGTTCCTTGATCCTGGATACTCAGCCTTCAAAACTGTATACCTTTATTCTTTATAAGTTACCTGGTCTATAGTAGTCAGTGATAGCAACAGTAACAAGACGAAGCCAGAGCTCATAAACTCAGATGCTGGCATGGTCGCTGATTTACTGTGCCAAGGCTTTAGAAAGAGTCACCCTTGCTTTATTCGAGTATTACAGGGAATAATGTTACCAATGTGCTCCACAATAATGTAGAGTGAACTGATATTACGCACAGCTAGAAGTACTTTGGAAATAAGCAAATAGGTACATGATCAAAGCAAATATAATGGAATCTGAGTATCAAAAGTTAGCCACTGCTGGATTAATCCCAGCTACCTGGGAGGCTGAGACAAGATCAGGAGTTGAAGGCCAGCCTTGGCAACTTAGTGAGACACTGTCTCAAAATTTTAAAAAAATTATTTAAATTTTAAAAGGAGTGGGAAGTGAGGCTGTTTCCCTCACTTCCTGTCTCCTATGGTACCCTATACGGAGACCTGAAGTGATGAAGATCACTTGTATGTTAGTCGTGCTCCTCATTTTCCTGTGTTCATACATGGTTTTGAAGATGCCATGCTCATGGGGTATTCTCATTGAAAGTTCAATCATTTATGAACCAGCAAATTCAGATTGTGGGTTCTTTACCAGTATCATGCTATATTCAAAGATCATTTACATTAACATATTGGAAAAAAGTAAAAGACGTAATGGTCATGGATCCAAAAATTCAGCAGCAAAGAAAAGCTCAACTTCACGTGAAGTGGAAAACTCAAGGACCCAACCAGAAGGGACAATAAGCAATATTGCAGGACCACATCCATTTTATCCCTCCTGATTATGTATGGAAATTTACCTGTAAATTCGGGACAGAGAGGCAGCCATACTAACCCTAGAACTATGGCTCCTGAGGACTGTCCTGCCTGTTGGAGAATGGGCTAATGCCTATGGATATCATTTTTTACCTATTTTAAAATTACCATTTCAAATGAAGAATTTTCTCTGCAGTCTGTATTTATGAATGTTTTGCGGGGGGGGGGGGTAGCAGAGAGCTTCAGAGTTTAAACTTGTAATGAAGGAATTTTTTTAAATAAAGGTTTGAAATTTAAAAATAAATAAATAAATGGACTGGGGATGGAGCTGAATAGTGCTTGCCTAGCACATGCAAATTCCTGGGCTCAATCTCCAGTACTGCAAAAGAAAGCCACATATTACCTTTCCTCCAATTTTCTTTTTAGAGCTATCTATTCTCCAAATGGTGCTCCTCAAACATTCATTAATACACCTATGAATCACACTGAGAGCTTATAAAAACGCACATCCCTGGGCCCCACTCCACAACTTCAGATTCTGCAATTTTGAAATGAGGCTCAACAACGTGTTTTCTGTGACAAGCAGATAGACCAGGCCACAGCAGCAAAGTCCTCGACAAAATACAGGAACCTGTAATGATAGTCGGCCTTACTCTGCACAACCACCAGAGTACTGTGACTCTACCTCAGCACTACAAGGAAGTTAGTTTTAGGTTTCTGATATAAAACTGCGGCCATATAAGGATTATTATAATAGCTACTCTGTGTCATAGAAAATCACCTCTCCAGTTTGTCTGTCATGATCCATGCAAGGCTGTCCATCCTTTGGAGAAAAAATAGTGTATCTAAAAAATAAACAATAAGTAGTAAATATTATTGTAATATTCAAGTTATATCCTAACATACTTGCCAGTGTATCCTAACGCCTCTATAATTTACACTTTTATGAGTAGTTCTACTGTCAACCTAATTACTATTAAAAGGTTTCTACCTTCATCAATGGTAATACTATTGAAAAATATGAATTCATCTTGGCTTTGTGGTACACAACAAAAGATTATAAAATATAAACTTACTTATGAAATGTAAATAGTTTTTATTTAATCTACATAATCAAGGAAGAATCTTGAGGTATTTCTAGAACAAAACCATAAAACACAATTATTTTTCTTTTTTTTTTTTTGGTTCCCAGGGATCAAACTCAGGACCTTGCGCTTACAAGGCAGGCGCAGCACCACTGGGCTAAAATCCCGGGCCCCAAATAATAATTTTTTTACTTGGCTAGGAATATCAAACAGAATCTTTAATAAGATCATAAAAGCCTATAATTCCATTCTCCCTGGATCTATTTGTCACAAACACAAAGCAGCTCAGCGTAATTAAGAACTAGCAAGAAATAAAGGAAAACGGATATAAGAGAAAGAAAATAAAGAAATTATAAAGAGATAGGATAATGGAAAAAGGTAGGCTATGGGTACTAAACCATAATGAAAGAATTGTATGTTTTTTGCTTGATAATACTGAAGGACAACAAACTCACCGCTTTCCAAATTTAATTTTGTTTCTTTCTCTTAAAGTTAAAAATTGCCACCTGACAAATGAATCATAGTAAGGATTAACATCAGTGGTAATGAAGGAACGACGCCAGTCTACCTATAAAAGGAAAAAGGAAAATTGTGAGAAATATACAAAATTTTTATAAATACAAATGAATTCCTGGCTGGGCGTGGTAGCACAAGCCTGTGATCCCAGAACTCAGGAGGCTGAAGCAAGAGGATTGCTGCAAGTTCTAGGCCAGCCTGGGCTACATAGTGAGTTCAAGGCCAACCTGAACTCTGTCTCATAAAATAAAATTTTTTTTAAAAATCCTATGAATCAATTATTTACTCTTGTACTCTTTATTCCCCAACCTAGAATTATATCATATATTAGAAGAAAAACTTTCCAAGTTTCACTTATTATATAAACATATCAATTATTCTAATAATTTGTGTTGTTTGTTTTTAAACACACATATTTACATACAGGAATTATAATAAAGACAAAGTAGTTAAATAATATCTTTATGTACTCCTAAATATGGTTTCTTCATATTCTTAAATTTTTCTATCTATTGCTATACACTCCATTAAGACAAATATGAAAGTGCTTCACTGCCCACATTGAGGTCTATTTTACAAGCTAGTATAATAATAACAGTATAATTCTTTTTTTTTGGCCCAACAGTAAAATTCTTTGGTCGCATACAGGTAGAATATATTATTCTAGGGGCCAGGGATTTAGCTCAGTGGTTTCGCCGCCTGCACAAGCACGAGGACCCGAGTTCGATCCCCGGTACCAAAAAAAAAAAAAGAATATATTATTCTAAATTTAAGAGTTGGTCCAAATCTTTTTTCACACAAATATAAATGCTTTCTTTACATTTTAGCTATGTAGGTAATGAGCATACCTTCAAACCTATTCTCTTTAGATCCTGAATAGCCAGTGGTGGGAAATAATCAAGCCAATGTTCTGCTTCAGAAAACTGTACTATCTCTTCATCAGGCAGTCCGAGGGACTGCATAATGCCCCACTGATATTTAGAAGATCCAGCTTTAGCAGCAGCTTTACTCTGAAAACAATAGGAAAAAGTAAACTCCATTAAAGAACAATCAACAGCTTAACATTCTAGGACCACAGTAATTTCAAGGAAATAATCCAATTTAGTAACTTTTTGAATTCCAAAGCACTGTTGAATCAGAACATTGTAGCACTATTTGTACATTGATGTACTATCTGTCTACGGAACTATACTGCCAGGATATTTACCAGGACACTGGTACCAATGATAACTAAATAGATGAAATCACAAAAACTAGCAGTTATGAAGATAGATCTCAATACCAAACATTGTTTCCTTTCTTCTAATGCAACACAAACCTTTTTTTAGCTATACATAAGCTACTCCCAAGAGTTTCCTCCCTTTCCAATATTTAACAATATCAAAAACACAATCAAATGTCAAGGGTTGGAGGTAAGAAATGAAGTAAATATATAAAACTATAAAAAGGTACCTCAAAGCAATTCTGAACATAATGGAATTGTTCTGTATGGTCCTGTGATGGTAGAAACATGCCCACCCACTTCTCAAACCCACAGAACTATATACTTACGTAAATTCTACTGTGGTTTTTCCCTAGTTCCAGGGATTGAATGCAGAGCCTTGTAGGCAAGCACTATGACACTGATGTTTTTGTGCTTTTGAGGCCAGGTCTCACTATGCAGTCTAGGCCGGCCTTGAACTCAGTATGTAGCCTAGGCTGCCTCGAATTCATGGTGATCATCCTGCCTCAGCCTCCTGAGAGCTGAGAGTACAGGTGTGTGCTACCACGCACAGCAAACACTATGCCATTGAAGTCCATCTCTAGCCCCCCTCCCTTTTTTTTTAACACGGTCTCACTAAATTTCCCAGGCTAGCCTTAAACTTGTGATTCTGCCTCAGCCTTCCGAGTAGCTGGGTACTACATGCATCGCCACACCTAGCTGTATGTAAAAAAAAAATTTTAATTCAACTAGGATGTGAGGGGAGTCTAGGATGGATGGCAGACCATAACAAATGTATCTAACTATATTACAAATACTTGAAATACCCACACTAGAGGGGGAGGGGAAGAAAGGGGTGGACCTAAGCAATTTTGGGGAAAAGTATGTAGACTAGAACTTAAAGACAAAAAGAATGACTGTACATACAAATACTTTCATTGGTAGAACTGTTTTTCCCAGGGGTATAGGTCAGCAACTCTGAAACCGCATTATTAGTATACTAGGATTAAATAAATAACTGAATGCACTATAGATAACAAGAGGCAGGCACTATAGTAAGAAATCACACAAACAAGCAAAGGGAAAATGTTAAAACAAGCGCTATGATGCCAAAATGAAGCCAAAGATATCTGTGTGCACTAATGGACCAAGAAGCAATGACATCTGAACAGCAGTGAGCATACCTGGCACTCAGACCTGACTTTCTGAATACCAGTCTTCAATAAAAGGAATCCACATTCCTTAGAGAAGTGATTGACTCTAGGGCTGAAGCAGGAGAAATACAAGAAAAGCCAGGAGTACCGTGTGGTAACAGAAAGTAAGAAAGTGTTCTTTTTAAAAAAAGAAAGAAGCCAGGCATGGTGACCCACACACATCTGTAGTCCCAGACTTGAGGAATGCCGAGCAGGAGAATTTTAAGTTCAAGGTCAGCTTAGGCAACTTAATGAGACCCTCCCTCATCCCCAAAAAATATAAAGGCCAGGGGATGTAGCTCAATGGAAGAGTATCTGCCTAGCATATGTGAGACCCTGGATTCAATCCTTAGCACCACAAAGAGAGGAGAGGGGTGGAAAGGGAAGGAGATGGGGAGAGACAGAGTAATATCAAATGGATAAAAGCCAATCTAAAAGAACTCTTAATGGCCAAAGCTAGAACAATTTCAATAGTAACAGCCACTGTGCACTTGTACATGCACACGCATGCAAACACACACTCACACACATACACACAAACTTTGACAGTATTAGATTATAAACTAAAGAGTAAAATAAAACTCCATGAGTTCACACTGATATAAAAAAAACTGAGTAAGTAAATGGGGAAGAGAGGATAATGGTTCCTTTCAGATGAATTCTACATAATAATATAAAAGGAACAAAGAAAATAGAAACTCATCATTCACTTGGGAGGCTGAGGCAGGAGGATCGCTGCTACCCTGGACTACATAGTGAGTTCAGGATCAGCCTGAATACATAGTGAAACTCTATCCCAAAAAAAATAAGAAAACAAAATCATCATTAACAACAAAGTAGTTATTGTTCTAGACAAGATCCACTAGGTATGATAAAATTGGTAAAATTAATGAGCAGATATTTTAAAAGAAACAATATTATTTCTATTGCCTGAATAATCTCTCTCAAAATATACATTAATTACAAAGGAAAAAATAAAATCTTCACAGCAGGAAAACCCGGCAGACACCAACTTAAATGATGAAGGTTAATATTATCAATATCAACTTCACATACTCCCTGATATGATGCATTGAGGACCTATCAACTCTCTGATATTCTTCCCAAAAATCAGTAATATCAACCTAACAAGATAAAGCATCAAGGCCCGGGGATTTTTGATTTTTTATTTTTTTATTAAATTCTTTTATTGGTACATTGAGGGTATACAACACAATTACATTTCTCATTGGGAATTGTACCTTTACATGATGCATCTTGGTTCTTATTTTTTCCCCATTCCTAGCCCTCCCTTCACCCCCTCCACCCTTCCTTATTTACAAAGACTTTATTTCCATTTTTTCCATTTCTCAGCATTTTTCCTTTCCCTTCTTTCCTTTCCCCTGCCCCTCCCACTACCCCTACCCCTGTGGATCTTTTCTTCCTATTTTGCATTATTGATTATTCATTCTAATCATTGGTACATTTTAGGTATACAATATAATGACATTCATCATTGGAAATTTGCACCTTTACATAGTCTCTCTTGGTTCTTATTTTTCACCCTTGCCCAGCCCTCCCTTCAACCCCTCCAGTCCTCCCTATTTACAAAGATTTTGTTCCTATTTTTCCATTTTCTCATATTAATCCCATTCCCTTCTATCGTTTCCCCTAGCCCTCCCACTTCCTTCCCCTTTGCCCCTTTTCTTCCTATTTCACATTACCTATTATACATTTAGTCCTTATTTAAACTTTCAGTTTCTCACACCAGAGAAACTATTCGGTATTTATACATGTGTGTCCTATTTATTTCACTTAAGAGTATGGCCTCAATGTGAATCCATTTAGCTATAAATGTCTCTAATTTCTCGTTTTTTATGGCTGAGTAGTACTCCATTTTATAAAAAAAACCGTATTTTCTTTATCTAGTCTCCAGCTGATGGGCATTTGGGCTGTTTCCAAGTTTCAGCTATTACAAACTGTGCTGCTATGAACATGAGCACACATATATCACTGTGGTATGATTCTTTTAATTCTTTGGGGAAGATCCCCAGCAGTGGAATAGTGGGGTCAAATGGGACTTCCAGTCCTAGTTCGAGGTATGTCCATACTGATTTCCACAGTGGTTGCACCAGTCTACACTCCCACCAGCAGTGGAGCAGGGTTCCTCTTTTCCCACAGCCCCACCAGCATTTGTTATTGGTTGATTTCATGATAGCAGCCATTCTTTCTGGAGTGAAGTGGAATCTCAGAGTTGTTTTCATTTGCATCTCCGAATGACCAGTGATGTTGAACATTTTTTCATGTATTTATTTGCTATTTCTACTTCTTTGTCTGAGAAATGTCTGTTCATTTCAGATGCCCATTTTCGGACTGGGTCTTTAAATTTGGGAGGTCTGATCTTTTTAAGTTCTTTATAGATTCGAGATAGTAGAAGGGCTGGGGATTTAGCTCAGTGGCACCATCCCTGTCTCACAAGCACAAGGTCCTGAGTTCGATCCCCGGCACCAAAAAAAGATAAAGCATGAGACAAACCTAAATGAAAGGACAGTCTACGCTGTGGTTTGAAATGTGTGCCCAAAAGCCTGTGTTAGAGAGCGAATCCCCTGTGTAACAGTAGTAAGAGTTGGAGACTATAGGCCAGTGACGGCAAACCTTTTAAAGCCTTCAATGGTAACAAATAGCCCATTGTGGCACACATGCAATAGGTTCACCACCACTGCTACAGGTCTCTGTCCTCATGAGTGGATGAATGTCATTAGGCTCCTTAAAAAGACAAGTTTAACCCCCACTTGTACACATCTGTGTCTCTTTGTTCTTCTGCTACAATGATACAGCAAGAAGGGCCTCAGAAGATGCCTTCCTCAGTCTAGAAGTTCCTAGCCAACAGAACTTAACCAATAAATTCCTGGTGATTAGAAATTACCCTGTCTATGGTATTCTATTACAGCAGCACAAAACAGACTAAGAGTAAAAGTATCAGTCTGAACAGTATACTTAACAAGTATCAAAACTCACACAAAACAAGAGGCAGAGGAGGCTAAAGAGATGACCACAGACATGTGACAAATAAATGCAAAGTGGGATCTTAGATGGGACCTGGGAACAGAAAAGGACAGTGAAAAAAAAATGAAAAAATACATATGAAGTCTGTGGCTGAGTAAATATTTGTGTACTAACATTAATTCCTTAGTTTTAAGGACTACATCAGTTACATGAGCTATAACTAATTAGAAGAACTGGGTGATGACTATAAGGGAATTCTCTGTACTATTTTGCAACTCCTCTGTAAATCTAAAATTATATTAAAATGAAAAAGGGAAAAAATGATAATTTTTGGAGCTGATACTTCTTTCAAATTACCAAATACATTTAATGTACTAGACACTATTGTATGAGAATGCAAACATAAATCAGACAAATACAAGCTGGACACAGTGACACATGCCTATAATCCCAGTTTCTCAGGGGGCTGAAGCAGGAAGATTATAATTTGAGCCCAACTTAGGCAACACTGTGAAACCCCCCCTCAAACTGCAAAATAAAAAGGGACAGACCTCAGCAAAGTGCTTGCCTAACATGCACTAAACTAGGTTCAATACCTAGCAATACAAAAACTAATAAAATAAATAAATCAGACAAATATGAACATAAAACTTCAACCAACATAAATACCAACATTCACCAAACCTTTTTTCCTTTAGCTTTATCCTTAACTACTACATTTTCTGCTTTAACACTGATTTCTTCCTCTTCTTCTTCTTCATCTGGAAAATCAGGGGGGCAACCATACAGTTCAATCTCTCTCTTCAACTTATCAGCACATGCCTATAACAAAATATTAGAGACAGTGAAGTTCAAACTTCAAGGAAATAGTTCGAGTTTTTGTCTCTAAAGCCAATTAAAATTAACTCTTCAAAATTTTCTGCATAATATATAAATATACGTATATATACATAAAAATTCAAATGACATAAATCATTTTTGTCAAAATCCACTAATTCATCAACTGCTCAGCAACTATTTATTCAATACCAAGTACTTAGTGAGGTATATTATATGCTAGGCACTAGAAATACAAAGATATATAAACCCTTATGTGTTATTTTGAATAACATTAATAACAGTGTTTCGCAATTTAAAGAGTATTATTGCCTTTGAAGCCAGGCAAGGTAGCACACACCTGTAATCCAAGCATATGGGAGGCAGAGGCAGGAGGATTGCCACGAGTTCGAGGCCAGCCAGGACTACACAGTGAGTTGAAGGCCAGCCTGAACTACAGTGAGACCACGTTTCAAAGCACCCCCCCAAAAAAGTGCTTTTGTAGTGGGAGTTAAATTCGTATGTTCTATTAGTTATTAACTAAAGGCAGCATGTATTTCACAAAAGAAAAAATAAAAATACAACTAGGAAGTATATCTTGGGATAACGAAAGAAACCTGGCTATAGCCTAGATTAAAACAATATTAGATCCATGTTACCGGGGATTTAGCTCAGTGGTTCCGTCACCTGCCTCGCAGGCACAAGGTCCCAAGTTCAATCCCCGGTACCAAAAAAAAAAAAAAAAAAAGAATAGATCCATGTTGAATGTCTTGAAGGGGATACTGTGACTGAAATGATGCAGAAGAATGCCCTTTTCTGCTGAAGTGTTTATGGATGCCATCATGTCTCCAATTTACTTTCAAAAAGTTCATAGAAAAAGAGAAAGGAAAGCATGTGTGCATGTGTTTGTGTTGAGAGAAAAAAACTAAAGGAAATGCAGCAAAGGTTACTACTTGGTAAATACAAGTACAAGGTAAAACTTGGTAACTATAGGTAAAGAACATTCAAGTGTTCACTGCCCTAGACTTTCACCTTTGTGTAGATTTGATATCTATCAAAATAACAAACTGGAGATTAAAAAAAATCTGCTGGTCCTATTTAATTACCACTTGCTATTGCTATTACATTTAGAAGAGAATCCAACTATACTTTTCTCGTCCTTTCTTCATTGAGAATTATTCCTCATGTAAATTAGAAGACATTTGTAAAAATGATCAAAATATGATATAATTGATTATGGCAATATTTTGTATGTCACAAGTGCACAAATCACTCTACATTTTCACTCAAAAATTATTACCCAATTCCAAAAAAAGAGAAAGTACTACCCAATTCCAACACAGACTTAAATATTAAAGTATCTAAAAGAAATCAAAATTCCTTAGAAATCACTTAGACCTTATTTACATACCTTTTATTTACTTCTTTAAATATTTTTAAATTAATCTTCACTATAAGAAATTGAACCCATTTCACAAAGCTTTGGCAGTGTTAGAAAATCCTACTTAAAGCTCTTGACTTGGATATCACTATTTGCTCTGTAATAAAGAGTGCACACCAATCTTGTACATATCATACCTTAATAGGCATCCCAGTGCAGTGTAAGCCAAAAGGAAACAGACAGCATTTTCCTTTCAATCTCTGGTATCCTACTGCAAACTGTAGAAAGAAAATCAAATTTAAATTAAAAAGATAAATGGTAGATGAATACAAAATGCTAACTTTTCATGAAGAACATTAGTTGAGTTTTCTTATCTTCCTTTAAAACACCAGTTTAGGGCCGGGGATTTAGCTCAGTGATTCTGCCACCTGCCTCACAAGCACAAGGACCCAAGTTCAATGCCTAGTACCAAAAAGAGAAACAAAAACTGAAGCCCTAAAACACCAGTTTATCCAGGTATGGTAGCGCACACCTCTGATCCCAGCATTGACAGACTGAGGCAGGAGGACCACAGCAAGTTCAAGGTCAGGCCAGGCTACACAGTGCACTCAAGGCCAACCTGATCTACATAGCAAGACCTTGAAAAAAAAAAACAAAAACAAAAACAAAAAAAACCTCACCAGTTCAGATTTTACACTCATTCCAAAATTTTTGTGCACTATCATTTGTTTTCCTGTTTTTTCCACTAACCTAAGAATTCTGACACATATATGCCCAGAACCCTGTACAAATAAACACAAGACATGTGAAAGTAAGTATAAAAATTAAATTAACTAAATACAAAAAAAAAAAGAAACATGACGCAACTCTAAGTTCCTTTAACAGGAAACAAATTCTACACATGCTGTTTTCTTCAAAGTAGCATTTATTAAAGACCCCCCATCCCATTATTTAAATATAGAAGCTTTACCTCACACTTGGATAGAGAAAACGTGTGTCCCAAATGAAGGCGCCCATTCATATACGGATATGGGAAGGTTACAAAGTACTTGCCCTTGCTGAAAAACAATCATGGAAAAGAAAGTACAGGGAAGAAAATGGTAAGTTTCTTGTACAATGAAAGATGGAGTAGAGGGTATGATTGATATAAATAACTTCTTTAAATTTTAGTTATTTAAGGCATTTAAAAGTAAATTTAGGGCCGGGGATTTAGCTCAGTGGCACCACGTCTGCCTTGCAAGCACAAGGTCCTGAGTTCAATCCCCAGTACCAAAATAAATAAATAAATAAATATTACAATCCAGAAATTAGAAGCTCTCTAAAACTGAAATTTAACTTAGAATCGCACATTCATAGATGACAAGAAATGAAAAAAAGAAATATCCTTATAGCAAATACTAGAGGGTTGAATTAAGCTAAAATAGTTGAGTAAAAATGATATAACAAAAAAAGTTTAATACTTTTAGAAATCTATACTTAATGTTTTACTGATTAAATGACAACTGAATTCACTAGAGACATATTACATGATATATATAGTAGATTCATTTAAAGAGTACCTTTTAAAAACTATTTAAATTTATTATGCCATATTCTTTTTTCTCCTGAAGTATATATAAGATAAAATGAACACTGTAAAGCTGGGTGTGATGGTGCACACCTGTAAGCCCAGTACTCTGGGAGGCTAAGGCAGGAGTATAGCAAGTTCAAGCCCAGACTGAGCAACTTAGCAATTTAGCATGACCCTGTCTCAAAATTTAAAGAAAAGAAAGGAGACAGGAGCTGGAAATGTAGCTCAGTGAGAAGGCCCTGGGCTAAATCCTTAATACTGCAAAATAAAATAAACTGAACAATGTAAATGCATCATCCAAGTCACGAATCCACTAACGCTACCAATGTGTCCCTTCTTATTGTCCTTCCAGATATAACTTGCATCTGAAATTTGCTTTTGTCCTTCTATCCTAATAGTTGCACACATCTGTGTGCCTTTAAGCAACATATCATTTAGAGTTTTGGAATTTATCCCAGTGGTGCTGCCATCTGCCTCCCAAGCACAAGGTTCTGAGTTCGATCCCCAGTACAAAAAAAGAAAAGTACACCATCAGGAAGTTTATTACAGAAATTTTCCTCTTTAAAAAATATATATACCCAGGTGTAGTGGCACACAACTGCAATTCCAGTAGTAGAGAGGCTGAGGCACTAGTTCAAGGCCAGCCTGGGCTACATAGTGAGTTCGAGGCCAGTTTGAACTATATAATGAAACCCTGTCTCAAAAATACCAAAAAAAAAAAAAAAAAAAATTCCAATCCCCCCCAGTAAAAAATATATATAGCTGAGTTCAATCCTCAGCACCACCAAAAATAAAAACAAGAAACAACAACAACAAAGACGATAGACGA